TTATTCCTCTATTAAAGAACAATAATTGTGTATGGAAACATAATTACTGCCTGAAGTCAGACTTTGTCCTTCAAAGCCAAATGGTAAATAGGCCTATATGTCCCACTAGGTTTAAGATTCAGTAACTCTTCATTTTGTATTAAGGGTTTAATACGGTTTTCATTGTAAACAGGAACCATTTTCTTGAACAGCAGTGAATATTTGTTTTCTTTGTGGTACCGGCTAGATTCTTATAAATTATTTAAACGAGTTTCGGCTTTAGACAGTTAATACAGCTCCTCAGTGTTCTCTGTAACATATTAAAATAAAACCTAACCTAAAATCACAATTAACGAGACATTTTTCTCTGCATAAAAGTGCACATGTTCACAGAATTAGGGATTAGGCAGCAGAATGTGGGCTACAGTTTAGGGAGATGACTCGTAAAGTTCTTCCGTGACCTCCGTCCCAAACACTCGCGCGGTGATTCGAGGTCACGACCCCTGAGAATATCACCCTACAGGCGCCACGATTCCCTTCTTGGCTGGCAGCCAGTCTCAATGGCTGATGTTCATTTCATATTCAGAACTCACACATTAACTATGAACGAGAAAAATTTTCACTGCTACAAGTCCACTTTGTGAATTGCTAACATTTTGAATTTATATGGACGGTTCATAAAGAATGTTATGTCTGGCAACTACAGAATCAATTAAGGAAGAATCGATTTTTTTTAAATTTCTTCGTTGTTTTAATGTCTTTCCTTACACACCGTATAAAAAACACGTTATTTCAGATGCTCCATTTTTTATTATTATTGATAATTATTATTATCGAAACAGTCTTACTGTTAATATAATCAACAGTATTGATACGAAACACCACATACTGCGTACAGTCACACTAAAGACATACCGCAATGAAGAAGATCATTCCCTATGGTTTGTAAAACAAACAACGTAACGAAGAACATTTCTAGTTATTAACAGGTACGTGCCCATTTTTTCTTCGCTATGCCCAAAGTCGGTTTAGGTTACGTACAAGTTAAACAAATTTCATGCTCGGACCTCACATTATGAAGGACAACAAAAATATATTTTTATTTTAATTATATTATTTTCAAGTACTAAACTGCTCCCTTGTTCATCTCTAAATGCTAATGACGTTGAATTATTAATTTCAATTTTTTTTTTGGATTTTTTCAATAGTCATTATGCTTCCTCAAAACCTACTACGTTTCAGAAGATGGCTAGTCAGGACCGAATGGAAGAGGAGAATTGAGATTATGCTTCCTCAAAACCTACTACGTTTCAGAAGATGGCTCTTTCCCCGTAGTCACACAGTCGAGTCCGTTAGTAGGAGCTAATCTTGATCTGTGGACCAAATTATGGTTTTTAAGAACAATAACGACGATTGTAAAATAACAAAAACATTAATAACGCTCTCTTGTTGCATTAAAATAAAATAATAGTAATTATTCATCTCAAAAATACCAGTGAAAGTTATTAATTATCAATTTAATATTTATCAGTCATAAAAAGGTCTAAAACATTGATAATGAACTTCCTATTAAACAGGTCTTAAATTATTGTTTGATAAGATGAGGATGGGTTTTGCTGGGGCAGGTCAGGTTAGGTATTTAGAACCCAGAAGGTAAAAAGAACACGTTAGGAAACTGTATATTCCTGTATGGATTACATCAGTCGATAGGGATTCCTTTGAGCAAATTAATACACAACATTAAATGTAAGTGTCGCTCTTCTATATCGCCAGCCTATGTATGTATGTATGATAAATGTATCTATGAATGTATGTATGCGTGATTGTATTCATACTTACGCATGTGCGAGTTTCATATGTTACTTAACGACGTTGTCCAATAACCTTTGTCCAACAAATCTTTACTTGCCTTGCTTGGCAACAGCTCTCAGACACATGAAATAAAGTGGAATGATTCGTATGCATATCTCAGTATGAAATAACTTCACAGAGATAAGACGTTAGTCAGTGTAACCCTGAGCAAAAAAATGCGTCTTCAGAACGCCCGTCTTTCAGACTGCCTGTCGGAGGCATTTGGCGGAGAAGTTGCCGCTCCTGCAAGGCGCTATAAATCGAGCTCAAATCCACAAGAAGGTTTTGCGCTTTGCAACTTTTTTGTAAACTGCAAATGTGAGGCCAAACGTACAAACACTATTATTTTATTATTTAGTGTTCTGTCTGACGACAGGTCCATATGAACAGGATCCTTCCATCCTTTTCTCGGACTGGGACCTGTTCATATACGTTCTTGGCAGATGATCCAGAAGCGGTTTGCCATTGCCTTCTTCTGTGTGTTGGGATGCCACGGCGGAAAACTCCGTGTTGCCTAGACCACGGCCTTGCCCAACACAAGTTATAAATTCGGGCACCGCCGGGAATCGAACCCGAGACCCCAGGATTACAAGGCCAGCGTTCTAACCGCTAGACCACCGTGGTACAAACATTACAGATATTAATTACATATATATTGATGGCTGTCTTTTGGGTTGTTGCGCCGTATAATCTGATAGAAGTTTGCAGACGTTTCAGAGGTCCTTGCTGCCTCCATCATCAGAGTGTTTGCACTGAAGCAGCTATCGACGATAACTCAAGTGAAACATCGATCGCGGTCAAGTTTAAGTTTGTTGATTATTCGCACTTAAGTAAATCGTAACTGGATTTATCAGTAGGGCTACCTGAAACGTCTTCTGACGAGGAGACCTTCTTGTTCTACTGGTATTTAAGACGCAGGAAACAGAAACGCAGGAAGTAATGAGTTTATCCGTTTTTCAAATTAAACTTATTCCACAGTTCTGTTGCAGGAACACGTGAATTAAATAAACAAAGATCCGATGAAAAGGCCACAAATTTCCGGGAAGCCGTAATTGTGAAAGAAAGACTTCTGATACCATTAAGGTAAAGAATGTTAGAATTTTTATAATCATTTTAAATAAAAATCGGTTGTAATTCACATAATAGTCACTTGTGAAAAATGAGTACGAATTATATTTATTTCCAAAATATTTGGTGTTTAAAATTAATATTAGTTACAATAATAACCCTGAAAGTCGTCAGGTTTAAATGATGTTAAAGGAACACTTGGGGGGTTATTCATAGAAAATATAATCTGTTATGTCTAAAACCCCTTTCTTGAACGTTCTCTGCCAAAGTTATATTCCTCGCACCAATAAATGTTCCGATCTCCCTACCGAATTAGAATGTAGCCACAATTATACTGTATTTCGAGATACTTTTAGGAAAGTCAATAGAAATTGACTCTGCAATTAAATTCATAACCTTCGAGAACAAATCGATGGATGATGAAACATATCGCATCTTGACGTTTGTAATGTGTTGTTTCACGGGTAACAAACTGCCATTAACAGCCATGAAGTATTGACAATTCTTTTGTGCAGATTACAGTGTCATCAATGTATTTATTTAACGATGCTGTCAGTATCTAAGACCATATAGCGTCAAATGATTGGATGATCAATAAATAATGAAAAGTTAAGGGTATGGAAGGAACCAGTAATGCTAATCCCGGAATTTCACTAGGGGAAACCACGAAAAACTTCAGTCAGGATAGCCATATTCGTCTGAGATCAGAATTAGGGATCTCCCGATTACGAAGTAGGAATATAAACCATCCGGCTGAAAATTTCATAAATGTGTCCCGTGTTTCTATAATGTACGTCCCACATATTCCAAAAAAGAGTTGAACTGCAGGAATGTATCTCATGGCGAACGCTGTGACGTAGAACTTATCTCTCTTAGTACATGGGCTGCTCCAAATTCGATTTCCGACATCAAATATCCTTAAAATTGATTTATTTTTTTAAAATTTTCCCTTGATACAAGGACATTTAAAGATACTTTTAAATACGCCACGACCACAGCATTCCTATTCCAGTACATTTTTATCATAACCCCACGACATCTATTAGCGCAGAAG